AAAACAGTTGTTAGCAAGAATGTGTATCTTTTAACCCATAGTTTCACTTGCTGTTTTTCTTCTGTAAAGATTTCATATCAGAAACCACAATTCTCTGCCTGGGAATATGACAGGTGGTAAATGTCAGCCAAAATCTATTCTCTAAAAGAACTCCTGGTATTGTATGATCCTTGGTCCCAAACACATCCATAAAGAAATACAAAGGGTAAGAGTGAAGAGGTTGCTATGTTTAATCTGACCTTGATACATTTGCATGAACATGAATTAAATGGTCATATGGTTTTAATTTGGGATTAACGTCACATATTATAATTAGCAAAATTGATTGATGGCTTTATTGCATTCTGAACATAAGAAAGGTTTGAGTGGCTGTTGAAACATCATGCACTGGGCAAAATTATCTTCTGAGGTTCTGATTAAGTAGCTATTTATTTCAGTACTAAATAAATAAATATGTACTTGCAATTGATTAGGAAGTATGGTTAAATCAAATGTAGAGTTTAGGGAGGGTACCGACTACCCTTTGAAAGATGACACTGTCCTTTAGTGAGGGAAATAATTTTACTGTTAATGTTAAAATGGAATCAATTATATACGTGTTCTAGTACTTTGTCAGAGCAAATTCAGAATAACTTCAGAGTACTAAGCACGATTACAACAATTTCTTCTTTCTATTGGACTTAGTTATTTTGTAAATAATTCTTACAATTATTTAAAATGTATTTCTGTCCCAAATGATTGTATTTTGTTTTTCTGTCTACTCCAAATTCTTTAACTACAACGAAAAAGAAAATCATAATTCAGCAGAGGTATCTAGATGATTTCTCAACTTAACTACCAATTTGTCTTTTATTGCTATTATCAAATTTAATAATTTTGTAAAACTCCAAAATGAATCATTCTCCTTTGGCACTTAAATGACAATTATTGAGGATAGGAGAAAGAAACAATAATGTAATCCTAATAAACTATAAATTTAAATTCATTGAATATAAACATCTCAGTTCCACCAACTTTGAAGTTCTGATATAATAAATTAAAAAAAACAGTAAACATACTTTGCATCGGAAAGTATCACTTTAAAGCTGCTAAAAGTAAATAATTGGCTTTTCTCCTAGTTTCCTTCCTTGTTCTTACTCTGTCTCTTGTTGGTCCATTTCTCTTATTAATTTGCATATTACTTAAATGTCATATGATTAAGGAAGAGGTGGTGAAAAAGAGAAGAGCTTCACCTTGTCTGCCTGCCTTTAAATAAAAAAAGTTCATTTTATTTTCATGAAGATTAACAACAGCATTGAGCCCTTGACCACTGCAACATTTTCTACTTCGGAAAATCAGTGAGTGGGGTTAAGTTTCCTTAAGGGCATAAATATTTTTAATTTCCAATAAATTTTTTCTATTTCTAATTAAACAGCTATTTTCATGTTTTCTTTAAAGTCCTGTAGAAATAGTTTGTGAGAAGTTAGGGAGAATATGAGAATGAATTAAAAGCACTTTCACATTTTCAAAGGACACAGTCTACCTAAGTCCTTATGTACTAAATGAAGACCTGTGCCACATAAATGAACACACACTATTCATGTATAGACAATACCAAGGCAAGCTATCAAAATAACTTTTTTCTTTAAACTGCAAAATGAAACCAAGTGCATGGGGTCAATTTTACTTAGTTGCTCTCCTTAACAAATTGTACTTGAAATGGGTAAGCTAATTATTTTGGATTATGCTATTGACTGCATAAGGGCATAATCACATAATGTTCAGCAATTAGTCAGGTAGGAAGAAAGCAAGTCATAGTTTGGTAAATTAACAATGAGTTCATGAGCATGGAATCTATCAGAACTAAAGATGATTGGATTGAGTAATTTTCTATATGTAAATAATTTGCATGCCCCTCTTTTAAAAATTCATGAATGAATTTGAACTCTAGAATTCACAAATGCCATGACTTTGATTATATAACAATGCATATTCTTGGATGGCTTTATCTTCATAACTAATCTCTACTTCCTCCTGCTGATAGCATCAAGTGGAACAAAGCCATGGTACAGATGCATTGTTTACATTCTAACAATACTCTACATATCAGCTCTTTTTTCTACTTTAGTTACCAACTCTTTTATAAATTAAATAATTGGTAAGCTTCGAGACCCATCAGAAACCAAAATTTAAGAAACAGTATAATAGCTCACCTTTTCCCTTGTTCTGGAATAGATTGTTTTGCCTTTACTAGTGATAAAAAAAAGACTGAAAGGTAGAAACGCTTTAACCACATCCTGAGTGTTCTGCAAGCATCTTTAGAAAACAACATTCCTATAGCTTAAAGTCCAGGGAGAAAAAACCAGGGTATATCTTTACAGAAAATGAACCCAAACCAGTTCAAGACATCATGCACTAATGCATGCTCAGAAGAAACAAAAAATACCCAGGGATATTGTAGAACCTTTATCCACATTTCCAACCAGTTGCTAAACCTTGGTTGAGCTCTGCAATTCAGACTGCACCTTGTAACACCTGGATGCCATTCTTAAAGGCTTTCTACATGAAATGAAACTGCCACCTTCCTCTATTATTTTTCCTCATCACTATGAGTGGTTGTGATGATGGGCACCAACTGTTAAAGAGGAAGATAGAACGGTAGAAATCAGCTTGTGGTAGGATAAGGACAGAGTGGCTGATGGACTTACCTGTCTTCCCTGTATGAATGTTGAAATGGATCTTCAGTGATAAATCCTCCTGCACAGTTGCTTCCGTGTTTGTATTAAGAAAAGTGATTCCTCTCAGTTTTCTGTGCCTGCAACCTTGGAAATGTAGCCACCCTGGTCGCTGGAAGATACCACCTCAGTCTCATCTCTCTAACACACCCTCACCGTTTCTTTGGGGCTCACCATCTTTGCTTAGAATCCTGTTAGGTCTGGACTAAGAGTAAATTATTTCTCTGCCCTCTTGGGTTTCAGGAGCCTTAGAACAAGGTTGGCTGGTCTTGAGCTGAGCAGGGTGCTTCCACAGTGCCTTTTTTGCTGTCTATTCCCAACAAAAAGTTAGAAGGGAGCCCGAGAAAGGAGTGAATGGATGCTTTTCAAGGCAAAAGGATTCAGTTGAAAGTAGACATTCTTGTCAACGACTGATCCAGTGTGTGTGTGTGTGTGTGTGTGTGTGTGTGTGTGTGTGTGTGTGCCCCTTTTCTCTGCCTAAGCATGGATGGGATCCTTACCCCATTCTCAGCTCTGCTTGGGTCTTATGTTGTTTCAATGTTCTTGATTTTGAATAGTTACTCTGATGCACCGCCATGCATGAAATAGATGATTTGCAAGCTTCTTTGCCGCACGTAATTCCGCGGTAACCTGATATCTGGATTCTGCATGGGCAAGGGGAATCAGTCCTTTAGAAAGTGATTGACCCAGTCCAAAGGAGCTAGTACCGCTCCCCAGGGCTGCAGACTCGGGCGGTGAGACCCTGGACTCCTGTGCTCTGGCCTTGGTGCTGAATCCGGAACCTGCTCCGGAACCATCTCGACTGCCCCTTGGTAACTTTCTCAACGTTTGAGGGCTACCTGGCCAGTCCCAAACGCCCTCTTAGTCGCCAACAGGGAGCTGAGCACAGCCGATACCTTGGCACCTTCCACAGGACATGCGCTGGCTTATTCTTTGCCTGTACCTGGGAAAGTTTTGTCCAACCTTTTTTTGTTTGTTAGTTTTTTTAATTAAATTTTTTTAATTAATTTTTTTTCCTGAGCTGGAGCTGCGATTTCCCCTCCCACCTGGGTCGCCATGGAGACTCGAGCTTTTTCTTTCTCTAGGCAAAATGGGCGAAGCTTAGCTCATCTCTGACTGTAGCAAGCCCCTTTTTCTTTCTGAGCAGTTCCTGGGCATCCCTTCTCCGTTTTTCAGCAAAAAAGAGGCAGACAAGGAATGGAGCTGGCAGCATTGTGGCATTGCACTCTGTACCGCGGGATCACCAGGACCGACAGACTTTGGCTAAAGTGGTCCAGAGACACTAAACATGTAATCTCCAATTCCCAAACACTGGAGATTTTTCCCCCCTCCTTCTTCCATTTTTGGGGGTGGAGGTGAGAATCTTTGGAAAATTCTGGTATTTTATTTCTCCACTAATCTCACCTTATTCCTAAGCTATTTCTATAAGATATCTTTTCCCTTAAGAGTCTCTTCAGATTGAGCCTGGTACAAGAGATATACCTGTGGATCCAGCCAGGTTTTATTGGGTTTGGGGAATACTAATGTTATTTCAGTTAAAAACTAATTCAAGCTTAATGTCTTGATGCAAATGAAAATATACCCAGGAGGAAGCAAAGTCAGCAGATTCACCCAACCTGCTAAATACTATCATAAACATGTCATTTTATCTGCGGTTTTTCCCCTTACAAATAATCCCATTTACTTCTAGGGAGACCTTCCCATTCGTTGCTCTTAGTCAGTATATGGCAACCTGGGTCTCACTGAGATGAGTGAGGAGTTGCTCTGTTCCCCTTTCTCTGCCTGCTTCCCCCACCCCTCACTTTCATGCTTTTTCTTTCCTCTTCGCTCCTCTCCTTTTCCCTTCTCCACTCTTCTCGGTGCAAAGTGGAACGAGGGTACAGCTGTCGACAAAGACAATGGGCTTTTCCCAACTGTAAATGACTACACCGCCAGCCGTCCCTGCCAGTCAATCGGTGCATTTCATCGGTGCCCGCGGATGTTGAAACGCTGTCTGCCATAACCGACTGGGTTTCACCAGCCCAGGGCATGCAGACCCCTCCTCCGCCCGCCCCCCGTGCGAGTTTTCAGTCGCTAATGAAAATCGTAGGAAACAGATTTCCCTCTGTTATGTAACCGGCTTCTCCCTGCCTTGCTTTGACTTGAGAATCATGTTTCTCATCAGAGTGGGGATGCGTGCAGCGACGGCGGAGCTGGGGAGGGGAGCGGGGACCCCAGGGCACGGAACCTCTTGCCCAGACTGTTGCCACAGCTCCTCGCCTTCGAGCAACTCGGAGCACCGCTTACCTTGTTGCGGACAGGGTGGCTTCACTCAATCATGATCTCCTCTCGGAACGGAGCAAAATTTAATAATTCACTACACGATGGATGCGAGGGAAGGAAATACGAAAAGAAAAGAAAAACTGGAATCAGATGGTCGAATTTCACATCAGCCCCGGAAGGCTGCTAGGAGACTCCATTCTCCTCGCGGTTCGTCCAGCTCTGGGTCCAGCGTCCCGGTTCCCACGGATCCCCACCCCTCCGCCCGCCCAACCTCTCCAGCCAGGTGCGGCCGTCTTCAGACTGACTCCCTCTGGCCGCGAGCGGAGAGGAAGGCTGGGCGCTGGGGCCAAAGGAGGGGCGGAGGGGTGTGCGTTCGGGCAGGGACGCGGGAGGGAGACCGGGTGCGAGGAAGAGGGACAGGCGAGAGTGGCAGAAAAAAAAGAAAAATCCCCGGTTAGGAGAAAAGTGATGGACCACGCAAGGAGACGTCATGAAATCCGCAGATTCAATGAATGCTACTCAATTCCAGCCGCCTGGCTGAGCCCGGCGTCAGCGCAGGAACAGACGCGGCTCCAGGGATAAGAGCGTGCGCAGCGCCGCGCTCTGGAGAACTGCGGACACA